AGTCCCAGTTATTAACATTAACCCTAAGGGAGCCCCAATGATTAACACATAACTCTATGGAAGCCCCAGTGATTAACACTGAACACTATGGGAGACCCAGTGATTAACTCAACCCTATGGGAGCCCCAGTGATTACACCGAACCCTATGGGTGGCCCAGTGATTAACACTGAACCCTATGGGAGCCCCATTTATTAACATTGAACCCTATGGGTGCCCCAGTGATTAACACTGAACCCGATGGGAGCCTCAGTGATTAACCCTGAACCCTATGGGAGACCCAGTGATTAACACGAACCTGATGGGAGCCCAAGTGAGTCACACTGAACTCTATGGGAGACCCAGTGAGCAACACTGAACCCTATGGGAGTCCCAATGATTAACACTGAACTCTAAAACCACCCACTCCCGAGTGTAAGTGGGTGAGTGAGTGTGTGGGTGAGTAGGTGAATGAGTTTCTGATCGAGTGGCTGAGAAAGTGGGCGAGTAGGTGATTTATTCAATGAGTGGATGAGTGGGTGAATGAGTGGTGAGTAGCTGAGTGAGTTTCTGAGTGGGTTAGTGGGTGAGTGAGTGGAGGATGAGTGAGCGAGTGAGTCTCCGAGTGAATGGGTGATTGAATTAGATAATGATTGACCGAGTTGCTCAATGACAGTGACTGAAGGAATGAGTGGGGAAACGAGTGAATTGGTGAGGGAGTGGGTGAGTAAGAAAGTGAGCGAGATAGTAGATGAGGGAGTTTTTGAGCGAGTGGGTCAGTGGTTGTAGGAGTTTCTAAGTGAGTGGATGAGTGATTTTCTGAGTGCATGAGTGAGCGAGTTAGTGAGTAAACGTGGCTGATTGAGTAAATGAGTAGATAGGTTAGTGAGTGAGTGCGGATGAGTAAAGGAGTTTTTGAGTAGGTGGTTTGGTGGTTGACTGAGTTTCTGAATAGGTTAGTGGGTGAGTGAGTTTCTTTGTGCGTCTGTGAGTGAGTGAGTCTGGGAGCGAGTGAGTCTGAGTGAGTCTGTGAGTGAATGGTTGAGTGAATGGGTGAGTGAATGGGTGAGTGAATGGGTGAGTGAGTCAGTGGGTGAATGCTTGGGTGAGTGAGTTTCTGAGTCAGTCTGTGAGTGAGTGGATGAGTGAGTGGATGAGCGAGTGGGTGAGCGAGTGGGTGAGAGATTGGATGAGTGAATGGATGAGTGAGTGGATAAGCAAGTGAGCCCACGAGTGAGAAAGTTGTTGAATGAGTGGGTGAGCGAGTGGGTGAGTAAATGGGTGAGCGAGTGGAGGAGTGATATTCTGAGTTGGTGATTGAGGAAGTGGGTTCTTAAGTGAGTGGAATAGTGGATGAGTGAGTGGGTGAGTGAGTGGGTGGGTGATTTAGTATATGAGTGATTGATCGATTGTGTGGGTGAGTGAGTAGGTGAGTGAGTTTCTGAATGAGTGGCTAATAGACTGGGCGAGGTGAGTGAGTGGGTGGGTGAGAGAGAGTCTCCAAGTGAGTGGGTGAGTGAGTGGGTTGTTGAATGAGTGAGTGGTTGAGTGAGTGGATGAGTGAATGGATGAAATTATTGAGTGGATGAGTTAATGGTTGCGAGTGAGTCGGTGGGTGGATGAATGAGTTTAGGTGTGAGTGGATGAGTGAGCGACTGAGTCTGTGAGTGAGTGAGTTGGTCAGTGAGTGGCTGAACGAGTGGATGAGTAAGTAGGTCAGTGAGTGGGTGCGGATAAGTGAGGTAGTTTTAAAGTAAGTGGGTCGGTGGTGGAGTGAGTTTCTGAATAAGTTTGTGGGTGAGAGCTTCTGAGTGAGTCTGTAAGTGATTGAGTCTGACCGAGTGAGTCTATGAGCGAGTCTATCAGAGAGGGAGTCTGTGAGCGAGTAAGTGGGTGAATCTGTGCGCGCATGGGTAAGTGGGCGAGTGAGTGCACGAGTGAGTGGGTGAATTATTTTGTGAGTCAGTTTCTGAGCGTGTGAGTGGGTGAGTTTATGAGTGATTCTGTGAGTGGATGCACGAGTGGGTGAGCAAGTGGGTGGGTAAATGGGTGAGCGAGTTCTTGAGTGAGTTTCTGAGTGAGCGGCTGAGTGAGTATGTGAGGGATTGGGTGAGCGCGTAAGCCTGCGAGTCGTTGAGTGGGTGGGTGCACGAGTGGATGAGTCTGTGTGAGTCTATGTGTCTTGTGCAAGTATATTGTCCGTGTTTCGACGGGTCTTTGTTTGAGTTAATTGGTTTCTGTGCGAGTCAATGGGTCTGTGTGAGTCTATGCATCTATGTGCGAGTCTTTGGGTCTCTGTGTGGTGCACATAGCCTGGCATGTGAGTGGGGGGTACCGTACCCCTGTGCGTATGTGTAGTGGGGGCACCGTAAGCCCGTGTGTATGTGGGTGGGGTACCGTAACCCTGTGCGAGGGGATCTCCCCGCCCCCACCCCCGGGGCAGAGGGAGGATCATGAAGGTGGACCCGGAAGCGCTCGGCTTGGGAGACAAACCATCCTCCTCCTGCTTCTTATTGTTGTGCTGGGGGGGAGGGGTGTGGAGAGGGAGGAAGGGAGGAGGAAAAGAGGAAACTAAACTATTTAAATTTTTCCAGGTAATGCCCAACGAGCTACACAGCTCTTCTTCAAAAGGGAAAATGCCACAAATGATAGGTCAACGAAGTGGCCTATCATCACGTCGACATTTATAGAAACCAAACACTCTGAACGCGACCACGGGGAGAGAGGGAGACACGCAAACTCTAAATATATAGCAGATGTGAGGGTAGGGATCGAACCCACGACCTCCTGTATAACAGGCGAGGTAGTTACGGGAGAAAGGAGAGAGATAGAGAGGCAGGGAAGGTGAGGGAGGTAGAGTGGGTGGGGGAGAGTGGGGGGAGAGTGGGGGGAGACAGGGATAGGGGGGAAGAGTGGGTAAAGGGAGGGGAGAGAAATAAGTCAAGCTCGGTATTGCTTGCACTCACCATGATACAATCACCATCAAACTCACACTGTCACATACCATCACTCACATACTCACCATGATACTCAAACATCCACACACACTCACCCTCATAAACACACCCCTACCATCCAACTCAAACAGACACGACATGATAGTCACACACTCAATCACCATTACTTACACACAAGCACACAAACTCACAACGACAATGGCCGCCATTCGCCACTACGTGGCGGTAATGTCATCACAACAAACCAGGTGCCATGGGTTGACTGCTGGGCCATACTAGGTGCAGGAGGACACGGGACAGACCCAGGTGCCATGGGTTGACTGCTGTGCCATACTAGGTGCAGCAGGTCACAGGACAGATATGGGTGCCACAGGTTGACTGCTTTTCCAGGCTAGGTATAGGAGGTCACGGGACAGATCCTGATACTATGGGTTGACTGCTGTTAGATAATCCCACTCGGGTGACAGCCAAGGTCAAAGGTCAGAGTGCAGCCAGTCAACTCCTGACCCCTGAACCTTCCAGAAAGAAGAGGGGGGATGGAGACATGGGGAGAGAGAGCCGAGGTAGGAGGAGAGTGTGTGGAGGAAGCGAGAGCTCCTATAGAGATGCAGGAGGTAAAGATGGCCGAGAATCAATGACTGCAAGGAATGCTGGGAGGCAATGTCATGTGACCACAGGGGCGGCAGTGCTGGTTGGAGCAATCGTTGTTGGAGCCGCATGGGCAGAGGACACGGAACGCGTCCTCCATCCCAGCACCTGCACCAACCACAATCACCACCACAACTAAAACCAAAACAACCATAAAATAACCACAACGATAACCATACCTCCAATTAGCACGGTCGGCTGGGTAGGGTGCAATTGAAGTTCAAAATAATACAACTACCATAACAACTATCATAACCACCTACACCACAACTATGACTATTACAACCACAACCTACACAATTATAACAAATATAACCACATACACCACAACCGCACATATAACCACAACCTATACAACCGCAATTATAACCACAACCTAAACCACCACAAGCACCACAACCAGAGCCACAACTACCATAACAACCAACAACCTATACCACAACTGTAACCTCCCACCACCACTACAACCACCTATACAACCAAAACTAAAGCCATGATTATAACCACAACCACCACAACCACCACCACAACCACCACCACAACCACCATAACCACCACCATAACCACCACCATAACCACCACCATAACCACCACCATAACCAAACAACAAAAACATTGACGCAGATACTACACAACCACTGCATGAAGGGTCGTTATCCCTCTGTGGGTGAGTGAGTGGCTGAGTGAGTAGCTGAGTGAGTGACTGAGTGAGTGGCCGAGTGGCTGAGTGGGTGAGTGAGTGGGTGGGTGAGTGACTGAGTGAGTTCCTGAGTGGGTGGGTGGCCGAGTGGCTGAGTGTGAAATGGACTCGAACCTGCACCTCTGCATTGCAAGCCCAGTGAACTCACACCCCGCATGTGTATCGGGGTAAAGTGCGGGCACGCCCAGCGTGGAAGAGTAGACCAAACACTCCACATCGCGGCCTCTAGTCGAGGCCATTTCTGCCACGACAACAAATCCGCCCCTCCAGAGACACAAACAACTAAATGTAACTCGTCCCATCAGCCACAATCTGGCAGTGCCTCTCCTCATCATCAGCAGCAGCAGCAGGGCCGTGAACTCAGCAGGCGCCTCCTCTGCCCCCCCCACCACCGCCACTGCTGCTGCTGCTGCGTCCACAGCGTGCAAGGTGCTCGCCTTGTTCGGGCTGAGTCGACCTAGAGGAGGCCCAGCCAGCGAGCCGCCGACGGTGGCCGCGAGCGGGAATCCAAACCGTCCGCTCGCCACCCACAATGCACAGCGCCGCCTCCACTCGCCCCGGCCTCAGCGGAAGTAGCAGCGGGGGGAGGGGCGGGGCGAGGGGGGTGAAGGGGCGGGGCGAGGGGTTGGGCATGGGGGGGAGGGGCTCTGGTGGGGGGAGGAGCTCCGGTGGGGGGGAGGGGCTCCGGTGGGGGGGAGGGGCTTAGGTCTGCGACGTCATAGTGGGCGTGGTCACTTGGTACCGCCCCCTCGTGTCTCCCTCAGGCAGTTTGTCCGTTAGAGAGTCGGGGGAGCATCTGGCGAAGGTGAGAAATGGTGTGAGTCTGTGTGTGTGTGTGAGTCTGTGTGTGAGTCTGTGTGTGTGTGAGTCTGTGTGTGTGTGAGTCTGTGTGTGTGTGAGTCTGTGTGTGTGTGAGTCTGTGTGTGTGTGTGAGTCTGTGTGTGAGTCTGTGTGTGAGTCTGTGTGTGTGAGTCTGTGTGTGTGAGTCTGTGTGTGTGTGTGAGTCTGTGTGTGTGAGTGAGTCTGTGTGTGTAAGTGAGTCTGTGTGTGTGTGAGTCTGTGTGTGTGTGTGTGAGTCTGTGTGTGTGTGAGTCTGTGTGAGTGAGTCTGTGTGTGAGTCTGTGTGTGTGAGTCTGTGTGTGTGTGTGAGTCTGTGTGTGTGTGTGAGTCTGTGTGTGTGTGAGTCTGTGTGTGTGTAAACACAAAGGCGGCCGGGCGTGGTGCTGGCCACCCACCCCCTCGTGTGCCGTTCTGCCCTTCATAGGTGTTGCTGGCTAACAGCACTTGCCCCAACAGTCTATTTCAGCTATAAGGGGGATCTTTATCTTTGTTGTTAGTGGTGGTGGTGTTGTTGGTGTTGATGGTGGTGGTATTGTTGGTGTTGGTGGTGTTGATGGTGGTGGTCTTGGTGGTGTTGTTTGTGATGGTGGTGTTGTTGGTGGTTATGGTGGTCGTGTTGGGGTGTTTGTGATGGTGGTGTTGTTGGTGGTGGTGTTCTTGGTGGTGGTGTTGGTGGTGGTGATGTTGATGGTGGTTTTATTGTTAGTGATGGTGGTGTTGATGGTGGTGTTGTTGGTGGTTGTTGTGTTGGTGGTGGTGTTGGTGGTGTTGATGGTGGTGGTATTGTTGGTGTTGGTGGTGTTGATGGTGGTGTTGTTGATTGTGGTGTTGTTGGTGGTCGTGTTGGTGGTGGTGGTCTTGGTGGTGGTGTTGGTTGTGGTAGTGTTAGTGGTGTTGATGGAGGTGATGTTGATGGGGGTGGTGTTGGTGATGTTTTTGGTTATGGTATTGATGGTGGTGATAGTCTTGTTGGTGTTGGTGGTGTTGATGGTGGTGTTGTTGGTGGTGTTGTTGATTGTACGATCCATCCTGGGTTTAACCAGGCTGGATTGTGTGAGGGGCTCACAAATACTTGAAAGATCTGGAGACATTCCCACCAGTAAGTTCCTCCGGCATACCCAAGCAGTTTATTTTGGTTGCATAAAGGGGGCTAAACGGGCACGACATGGGCTGTCAAAATATGGACTGATGCTGTATGGGAGGATGTGGAGCTGAGTGGACTTGCAGAAGACTGGTATCAGTGGTGTGGATAGCATCCTTCACGAGGAAGCTCGTGAAGGATCCTACCGGGCAGTAGGAGGCAGTCGCCTTCCAACAACAACTGAGGACAGAGGAGTGACGCTCACAACGAGTAGCGGATACAATTCAACAAGTTGGCACAGTTGGGGATACAGCTGGTGTATCTACCAGTCATCTCAGCCAACCTTTGGAACCTGGGTCTATCCCGTGACGTCTTGTCAGCCTTCGACACTTCACGTGGACTAAAAGTGCACCTGGCCCGGCACAGGCGCCGTGGTGTCATCACCCCTACTTAGTGGCGAATGTCGGTTGTTGTTGTTTTTGTATTACGTGTTGTAAGTGGTGATGATGTGAGTCTGTGTTGATGATGTGGGTTCATGGTGCGGATGTAAGCCCGCGTTGTGACTCGTGTTGAGATCTGGGAGCCCTCACGCCCCCTCGACTCTTTGTGATCCTCGCCTTCGTCTCCTGCTCCGCACGCAGAGACCCGGACTGTGCGAGAGACGCTGTGAGTTCTGTGCACCCTGCTCTGCAAGTTGCTACCATGGAGGTACGTGTGGCTCTTCGACTCGTGTGGTGAAGTATTGATGGACGTGTGCTCTCCACTCTGCGTGTGGCGACCTGTCGCCTATCCATATACCTCAGTGTACATCTACTTGCCTGCCTGAGTGTGTGCATCTATCAGAGTATCTCCCCTGAGATCCTGTCTGTGTACCTGCCTGTCTACATGTGAATAATCTACAGTACTTTTATCTATCCACTACTGGATGAAGGACTCCTTCCCTGAATTCCTGCTACCGCTCACGATCCTGCAATGGCATAATCCACCAAGCACCGATTTTGTCGCTCCATCTTTCTGGAAGCTGTCCTCTCAAACGTGCTCCGATACTTGGCTGCAGCTCCGTTATTTTTCTTGACCATCGGCCATCGTTGTTCCTCCTGGCCGTGGCATGTCCTGGCCCAGCCCCACTTCTCTTATCAGTTTGAAGGATGCCATTAACCTGTGTGTCCTATAAATCCACACGTGTCTCATTGTAAATCCAAGTGTGACATCAGATATTGTCCAAATATCCCAACGCTGAGAACTGACACAACATCTTGGCAGGACCCTCCTGTTTGTGGAGCCCAGGATCTCAGAGATCCTGGCTCAGTGCTCGCCTCCTGCACTTTCACCAACATCTTGCTAAAGTTTACGTGGTGGACCTTTGTCTTTGTGTGTGTGTAGATGAGCCGAGCTGGAGAGGCGAGGAGTAAGGGCGAATCTTGCACCACGTGGAGTGCGCTGTCCTCAGAGGGCACCGCCTCCATCTGCAGCAAATCACCGCAAGGTAAAGACAGTAATGAGGGATGTCACAGAGGGCCATGGTGAATGGTGGAACATCACAATGGTCATGTTGCATGGTGGATGTCACAGTGGCCATGATGCATTGGAGATTTCATAGCGGCCATGATGCATGGGTGATATCCAGGTGGCCACGTTGCATGAGGGACTTCATGTTGGCAGTGTTGCATGCGGGACTTAATGGTAGCCATGTTGCATGGGGGACTGCATCATGGTGGCCATGTTGCATGGGGATGATTATCTGTGCTCTGGCCTCAGCACATCACACGCTTTCAGATGCACTTCCGATATTAGGAAGCCATTGGAGTTATACACTTTTAAATCATCTAGATTGAAAACTACTTTCTTTAGAACTTTTCATGTTTAGTTTATTGTCCTTCCCCTGCGTATCCATTTGGCACCATTGGCTACGTACGGTGCAAAAGAAGTTCAACATACATACAGACATAACTGGTATTGGCCAAAACATCCCAATCCTGTAATATTTTCCTACAAATTGCTCAACTTTGGGATCACACAGCTGTTGTCGTTATTCTCATGTCTGCAGAAATCATGGCTCTCTTTGGCCCTCACTTGACCAACCGTGAGAAGCTAGAACTCGCAGCCATGCAGGAAGTGTGGTACTTTGCACTTTTCAACAAATCTCAGGGATTCAACAATGATGGATACGACGACTACGAACGAAATTACATTCTGGTGAGGCTCGTAACAAAACACCAGCTGTGGGGGCGGTCACAGGGCCCATCGGTAGCGTGGTTTGTGGCTTCTTGTCATTGCACCTGAAGTACCAACCAGGGCTATCACACACACCAATGCACTTCAGAATCAAAATATTTTTATCGCGAGTAAATCCCATTGAGCTAAGAAGCTCTATTTTGAAGGGTGACTGAGCCAGCAGACATCAGAACATTCCACAATGACAGATTTAAAAAAACGTAATCATTACAGAAAATATATTAGAAAATTACATTCTCACTTAAATCTTGACTTAAAGCTTTCATGACTGCAGGAATTCATATTCTTTGGGTCTTTCGGTAAAGTCACGTAGATAGGTTCAAAGAAAATAAAAACTAAAACTACAACGTTTCAATCGCAACAAAATCGGTCGACTTCAGGAAAATGGGGGTTAGCTTCCAAAGGCAAACTGTTTATTAGGGTTTGAAATGGGCATAGCCCAAATGTCAGCAGCCAATATTAATGCAAGTGGTGGGCAGCCAACCCGACAGTTTCAGATCTGCCTTATGTTCGTGAACATTAGGCAGATCCGAAACTAGGTAGGATCTGAAACACGGTAGGACCAATACCTCAGCCGTGGCTGATCATTGTTTTAATGCAGTGGGCTCACATGAAATGTATTTCTCTAAGACGAAGGTACTTTGCAAGCCCACTGGCTATCAACAAAGATTCATTCATGAAGCCATCCATTTTTATCGACACAGACACAATTTAAACCGAGAAGATGGGTACAAACTGAGTAATCATTGGAAGGACGTTATCAACCAGTTTAAGTCACAACTGGCTATGATCTTCCCATCCTACCACCTTCTGATGATAGTTGTGCTTTTTGCCCATTTCAAACTTGCGCTTTCACACTAACACAGCCACTTTGCGTGATGACCTCTCGGTTGTGGCTCTGCGATATTCCAGTAACATACTAATCTGTCATTAACATAAAAATTTTCACCCGGCAACCCTTTGATTGTTTTTAGTTTTTAGTTATTTTCTTTCAATCTATGTACGTGACTTTACCGAAAGATCTTCTTGGTTCTTTCGGTAAAGTCACGTAGAATGGAAATAATAAAATAATAAAAATACAACATAATAAAATAATAAAAATAAACATAATAAAATAATACAAATAAAACATAATAAAATAATAAAAATAAAACATAATAAAATACAATTCTCACGACGTTTCAGCCACAACGCAAGCAGCCGTCCTCAGGTGAAGAACAGGTCTGTCAGAAAGACAGCGTCTGAATGACGCAGGAAATCCGATGGGCTGTGAAGCTGTTTGTTAACACGTGCCCAGTAGAATCAGAAGTATTTATACTGCAGGAAATCCAATGGGCTGTTAAGCTGTTTCATCTTCTTGGTTCTTTCGGTAAAGTCACGTAGAATGGAAATAATAAAAATAAAACATAATAAAATAATTCTCACGACGTTTCGGCCACAACGCAAGCAGCCGTCCTCAGGTGAAGAACAGGTCTGTCGGGGAGACACCGTCTGAATGAACACCACCAGGCTTGGCAGCGTATATTTAATCTAGATTGGAGGGTGAAGAGCGCCTTGACAAAGGAATTTGCATATCCCAAAGAATATACATTTTCACTTCTTAAACTTTGTGATTTTAATTATATTCACTTTAAATGATTGTACCTTTTGTGCAGTTCCGGCATGAGCACCTCCGCTATCGCTATGAGGTGCTGAAGAAGATTGGAGAAGGAGGTCAAGGCCAGGTTATCCAGTGCCTTGATCACAAAAGAAACATCCTGGTGGCCATCAAGATCCTGGTGTCACCATCGAGGTAAGACTTCAGAGCCGCGCCGTCACGAGGCCGATGTTGTTGTTAAGTCCGTTGCCACGGGCAGCCGTGCGATGCAGCGGTGACACTCGTACATCAAAGCGAGAAGGGGGGCCTGGGTTCGACTCCTGATTCGGGTGCTCTGCTGTATGGAGTCTGCATGTTCTACCCCTGTTCTGCATCAGTTCCTTCTGGGTTCTCAGATTTTTCCTCCCTAAAGCTTAAAATACACACACAGTGTAAACTAATATTGGGGCAAAACATCCCATTGCTGAAAGATTACCTGCACATTACGGTAATTCCTCATTTAATGCTGTAGATACATTCCTTAAAAGTTCAGCGTTCAGTAAAAAAGTATTGAGCGAAAATAATTTTCCTATAAATAATGTAATAATAATGGTTGGCGAGATACAATGCACTCATACACCTTGAGATGACGAGACCAATGACTGAGGGTATGCCGTTACGTTACTTTATCATTGCGAGTAATGTATCATTGCAGCTCAAGAAAGTAGTTTGTTGTCGACTACTCACAGATCGTGTTATAACGGGCGGGTTTCGTTTTTTAACAGGCGTGTTCTACGTTATAACGTGAAGCGTTCCGTGTTGCAATGGGCGCGTTTGTGTTATTACGGGCACATTCCTGCGTTATGCGAAAAGTGTGCCCGAATGGAAGAGGCACATTAAAGTGAGAATGCGTTGTGTTCATATTCTTAGGTTTTTTCGGTAAAGTCACGTCTATTCTTAGTCTTAAGCCTCACCTTACCATATTAATAAAAAGTGTGCCGTACTTGGCCCTTCCCCTCTTCAACCATTATATATACGGAGTGGTAGCTCTTGTAATCTCTCATTTACTTGATACAGCTGTCGTGGCTGTGACGGTTCCACCTGAAGACGGAGGCTTGTGTTGCCTCCAAAACGTCGTGATTTTTATTTTATTTTTATTTTACTTTTATTAATTTGAATTTTTTACCTACGTGACTTTACCGAAAAAACCTAAGAATATGAATCCTTGCAGTCACGAAAGCTTCAAATCTAGAATTAATGCGTTGTGTTAACATGAGTTTGCATTTAGATTTCTCAAATGACCAATCCGATTTGAATGGTTCTTCACTTTCAAATCCTATTGGGTGCCCTACACCGGCTCCTGCTCCCTCTGTGGGAGCTCCTAACCAATGTTAGTCGAGTGTGCTACTGGAACTCCTGGTGCTGTTAGACCTGGTGAATTCATATTTAATTATTTTATTGTAAGTAGAATTTGGCTCTGGATATCCCTTAAGTAAATGTAGGCTCTTCATTTGTGGACTTCCTCTGTGCAGCTCCAAGCAAGAAACATACCAGAAGATGGAGCTCCAGATAGCTCTGGAACTTCAGGACGAGGGCAGTGATGAAGATTTCAACGTCATCAAAGTCCTGAACATATTTCATTTCAGAGGACACTACTGTATCGTCATGGAGCTGTTGAAGTATGTACTGCATGCCCCCCCCCCCCCCTCCGCCAATAACGTGGTTAACTAACTTAACTTTTTAGAAGCGACCAGACCACAAATAAAAGCTTAACAAAGTAGCATTTTTCTTCTTGGTTCTTTCGGTAAAGTCACGTAGAATGGAAATAATAAAATAATAAAACTAAAACATAATAAAATAATTCTCACGACGTTTCGGCCACAACGCAAGTAGCCGTCCTCAGGTGAAGAACAGGTCTGTCGGGGAGACAGAGTCTGTCTTCCCGACAGACCTGTTCATATGTCTTCCCGACAGACCTGTTCTTCACCTGAGGACGGCTACTTGCGTTGTGGCCGAAACGTCGTGAGAATTATTTTATTATGTTTTATTTTTATTATTTTATTACTTCCCTTCTACGTGACTTTACCGAAAGAACCAAGAAGATGAATCCCTGCAGTCACGAAAGCTTTAAATCTAAAAGTAGCATTTTGATTATAAATGTGGAGGGGAAAACCAGTGGACCCACAGAAAAATTCACATGCCCACGGGGAGAACATGCAAACTCCAAATCTACAGGCATCACGGTCGGGATCAAACCTAGGACCTCCTCCATACCAGGCAGGGGAGATGTCATCTCGCCACCGCGGCAAGCTGTTAATTCTTAATTTTGGAGCTTTCGTGACTGCAGGAATTACTCTTTGGTTCTTTCGGTAAAGTCACGTATAAAGATAAAATAATAAATTAAATAATAGCATACTACGACGTTTTGATTGCAACACAAGCAATCATCATCAGGTATAAATAAAATAGCAACAAAAATCTAACCATAAAACTATAGACAAACATATGTATCTTGGTGATATCTGTCTGCTTATATGTCTGTCTATAGTTTTCTGGTTACATTTTTGTTGCTATTTCATTTCATTTATACCTGATGATGATTGCTTGTGTTGCAATCGAAACGTCGTAGTATGCTATTATTAAATTTATTATTTTATCTTTATACGTGACTTTACCGAAAGAACCAAAGAGTAAGCTGTTAATGTTGAGATGCCCACGCCACCACCCATGCATTGTAATCCTGTGGAGCTGCCATGTGCCACGGGTGCATTGGAGGCCACTTGTCTTTCCTCCATTAGCCCTGCCACTTTCACCAACCCACGCCTCCACTCAATCAGCAGGGTGGCTGCATGGCAGTGGTGATGCTTGTGCCTCTCGGCGAAAATCCCTGTGAGTTTTTATCTTCTCCCAATGGATAACCCTCCACTACCCGGCAACAAAGCCAATGAAATCAAGTTGTCAAGTGGGCAGATATGCCAACTGATTTGGTTTATGGGCAAATTGACGACCTCAACCCACACAGAACTATAACTCTTAATATTGGTCATAAACGTGCACATGAACGTACAATATGAACATGATTATCGTTATCAGAATCAGTGCAGCATTGTAGGGGATGGTACTGATGCCGTGTTTTTGTTGCTGCTTCTGCCTCTCACAGGGAGAGCCTTCATGAAGTGATTAGGAATGCGGGGCTCCGACGGTTGGACATGGCGATGGTGAAAACCTACACCAGGGGCATCCTCAAGTTCTTGCGCCACATACATTCCAGGAAAATCGTCCACGCGGACATCAAGCCTGTGAGTGGACACAGCGTTCAGCTTTCACTTTGGTGCAGAGGTGTATCACTCTTTGGTTCTTTCGGTAAAGTCACGTATAAAGATAAAATAATAAATTAAATAATAGCATACGACGACGTTTCGATTGCAACACAAGCAATCATCATCAGGTATAAAAGAAATAGCAACAAAAATCTAACCAGAAAACTATAGACAGACATATAAGCAGACAGATATCGCAAAGATACATAGAGAGAGAACACACATCGGCACACAGAGAGAGAACGTCTCTGTGACGAGGCCTTAAATAGAGAGAGGGAGGTGGGGGCGGAGAGAGGGAGGGGTTAGAGAAAAAATTTGCATGTCAATGAGTAGGACGACGGGTGACAAAGTACGCAAGCTTTATACGTGACTTTACCGAAAGAACCAAAGAGTAATTCCTGCAGTCACGAAAGCTACAAATTAAGATTGCAGAGGTGTATCTTTATTGGGGACTCGTTCCACAGAAAAAACCGGCCATGTTGGTCACAGGGTCGATATGTAAGCTCTGCCCATCTCACTGGAAGGAGGCAGGGTCATGCTACCTCTGGTGACGATGATCTGGTATGAATTAAACTATCGTGTAGAGTCGTGTCGCTCTTGGGGACTCACCAGAGAGAAAACCGGCAACGTTGATCAGCATTGCCCCAAACCCTGGGAGACATGAAATGGAGTAAAAAATATTTTTTTTCAAAACGTGCGAAATGTGCATTTTGGCCTGACAACTGCTCGTTATCGAATTCCAATCTACAAATTAAAAACGTCCAAAGACAAAGGTGCAGTGGAAAGCGTCACGGAATCCGTGCACTCTCTTGTGCGTGGCTTTTTGTCTCTAACTCGTTAACGGGCACTCATCCAGCTGTGAGCTCCATGCAGCTCTCCTGTTGGAGCAACGGCAATCGGTTGTCAATAGAGCCACCCCCCTTCACTTTGATGGTGCCTGAGAGTGCTTTGAACGTGACACGCCTCTACTCACATTTACAATTTTGACATATTTGAAAGGGGCAACGCCCAGTGACAGCTGTCAGAAAACAGTGAATATTGCACTTGACTGACGCTTGTCGACAGGGCTATGCCTCATCTAGTTCCCCTGTTTAGCGTGTGTCGTGGTATGTGATTGATCCACTGCTGGCTGAATGACATCGGCATAACCTCTGAGTTTGATTTCATTCTACCCCTCCTCCAGGAAAATGTTCTCGTCAAAGACACCGTGACTGGCACCGTGAGGATCACGGACTTTGGCACGAGCTTTTTCGTGGAAAGTCAACGTGAGTGACCTCACCTGGGTGTGTGAGTGTCTGCGTGTGGGTGTCTGTATGGCTGTCTTTATGCATGGGTCTCGCTGCGTCCGTGTGAGTGTCTATATGTCAGTGTCTGTCTGAGTGTGTCTGTGTGTGAGTATCTGAGTGTCTATAAATGTGACTGTTTATGTGCATGATGATGATGCTGTTTAAGACACAGTGTGTACACACGCACATATGTTTGTTGTCCTTGTGATTTTTGTACAGCTATGAATGTTGGTGGCACCCTAGAATACTTGGCTCCGGAGCTGTTGCTGGGCTATAGCTTGACATGTGGAGTGGATATGTGGGCGCTGGGCTGCACGGTGGCGGAGTTGGCGACGGGCAGGGAATTATTCCGGTCCAACAGCCACGAAGATCACCTCCCGCGCTGCATAGAGGTATTTCCCACACGGCGTCTGTCCGCTCGTGATCTCCCTCTCTTTCCTTGGAGTCGTGGGCTATGGTGGTGGCAGGAGGGGGGGTGGCCAATTGGTGATCTGTGAATACCGGCCGTCGTATGTTGCGTGTACACGTGTGTGTCTTGTTTGTGTGGGGGAGCGGTAGTGTAGCGGTCAGCCTGCTGTGCTAGAAACTGAGTTTGATTCCAGCTCATGGGCAACACCAGTGACGATTGTCTGAACTGGTCCTGGGCCTCCTCTAGTTCGAGACAGCCTCAACTGAGTACCTGGTGGAGTGTGTAAAGTACCTGGGTCAATTCTAGATTTGAAGCTTTCGTGACTGCAAGGATTCATATTCTTAGGTTTTTTCGGTAAAGTCACTTAGGTAAAAAATAAAAAATTAATAAAAGTTAAATAAAAATAAAATAAAAATCACGACGTTTCGGAGGCAACACAAGCCTCCGTCTTCAGGTGGAACATTCACAGCACGATAGCTGTATCAAGTGAGAGAAATTCCAAGAAACAGTCCTTGTATATATACTGGTTGAGGGTGGGAGGAGCCAAGGTAGGCCCTGAATATTATTTTTGTGATGTTCGGTGCGGCTGAAGCACGCTGTTAGGAATGAGCCTTTGTTGTGTAAACTAGGTGCGGATGATGTAAAGGTGCGTGTAAAAGGGACTGAGCCTTTTTGTTATGTAGAGATGATGCGGCTGAAATCAGCCGCCACTCCTGTCTCTGTGTGCCACAGTGCTGGCCCTCAACAAACGCTGCTAATTTTGCTACTCGATCTGACAGCACTTGTCCCGACAGTGTGCCGAAGCTATACGGGTGACCTTTGTCTTCATGTCAACCATGTGCAGATTCTGGGGATGCCTCCAAGGTACATGGTGAATGGAGCACCCGACAGAACGCAGTTCTTTGGTGAGTTGAAGCGTGGGGTGAATGACAGACCGGATTCAGTTTTAGGGAGTGGCCTCAGGCTGTTGTTATTTAGTTTTGGAGGGGGCGTCTTTGTTTTTTACATTACTTGGGTGTGTGGGTGGGTAAATGGGTGTGTGGGCAAGTGGATGGGTATGTGGGTGAGTAGGCGAGTAGGTTGGTGGGTTATTGGGCGAATAGGTGAGTGGGTGGGTGAGTGGATCAGTGAGAGGGTGGGTGGGTGGGTGAGTGGGTGGGTAGATGAGTGGGTGGGTGCATGGGTAGGTGGATAGGTGAGTGAGCGATTGGGTAGGTGGAAGAGTGTATGGGTGGGTAGGTGGATGAGTGGGTTGATGAATCGGTCAGTAAGTGGGTAGATGGGCTATGTGGTGGTTGGTGACTTCGTCTCTTCTGCTGTGCATGGCTCCTGCAGACCATCGGGGGAAGATGTTCTGCCCAGGCAAGAAAAGGGTTCCGGGGAGCTTCCCACTTCACAGGGTGCTCAAAAGCGATGACCCGGAGTTTGTCAAATTCATCAGCTCCTGTTTGCGGTAAGAACCACCCACCACTCCCACCCCCTCCCCACGAGGATTCCCCCCTCCAATTGATTGGCGACCGCTCTCCACCGATCACCAGGAAGATGTGGAGCTGAGTGGACCTGCCAATAAGTGGTACCACTGGCCCTCTGTGGAGTTAGCTCTCTTATGGAGGAGTGGGAGGTCTGTCCAAGCCGCTGCTGGGCATCAGAGGACTGCCACTGCTACTGTGGCTTCCGCTGCTGCTGTGCGTTCCTGGACCTCGTGGGAGAAGGGAAGGAACATCAGAGCTCTCACCATGCCTCTCTCACCACGTGGCCGCGTGTGTCTCCCATGCATCTCTCAACAGATGGGATCCGAATTGTCGTATGACGCCAGCGCAGGCGCTGGCTCATAACTGGCTCCGGACCGCGGCCACCAGCACCACCACGGCCAGCAAAGCCACCACCACCACCACCGCTGCTGCTCCTGGCAGTGTGAAGCGCTCTGGAGCTGCTAAGCGACGGTAAGCCACCATCTGCTTGTCCAGTGGTCAAGGCAGTCTATAGGGGGGTGCGGGTCCTGGGGCAAGTTACACGGTGTGTGCTTACGAATAGCGAAGAAATCCTCCTCTTTCAGTCTTAAATAGAGCGATAAATGTGATGTCATCACTTGTGAGCCAATCCGGAGCGATAGCCTACGTGTTAAACGGAAGTATTACGTCTGACACCGTGACATGGAACCGCAGGGCCCCCCAAAGCGCGGGGCCCGGGGTGGTCACCCCCCGTACAGCGTACCCGGGGGTGTTTAATATTGATTTATCTTTATTGCTACTACTTCTACACTTATTTAGCCAGCAATAGCCTCACTCAGTCTCAAGACTTTTTTCAGGAGGGTCCTGCCAAGTGATTGCAGTACAGAACAAATGTACTGCTGCTGTACGATCCCAATTGAGTGATTTGGAGGTTCAATTTACAACACTGGTGAAGATGTCCATCCAACACTGGTTGCACGGCGTGTTTGTGAGGGTTCAGTTGCCAAATCCAGAGGAATGGAAGTGAAATTTTAATGTGCAATTTTATTGAAGGATCGTGTTGTCTTGGTGTGGTGTGAGGCTGTTTTTGTTGCTGTTTCGCTGCGTTGCCCAAGCTTGCATTTAGTGTTGAACAACTGACAGGATTTTATTTACTTATGCCATTTGTATTTATACGCTTTATTTTTTTAGTATACTTTGGACTCCTTTTGTTTTGTTTGTTGTTATAACCTGCTGACCCTGTGACTTGACTGGACATCTGTGAAAGAAGAGCTTCATAGCTCATCAGACTCCTCTTCATCCAGTTTAAAGAAAGATTCTGATTCTGGAAACCCATGCAGGGGGGGGGGGGGGGCGGGCAGGGTAGGGTGGTTGGTAGAACACACTCCACATTCCACACAGAGAAAGTGGCCCACGTATGGGAATCAAACCCAGGTCCTCTCTGGCTGTGAGTTCCAGCCAAAGAGAACGTGTAGATTCGGTTATATACGGATTTATTTTTCCATAATTGGTTTCTGGGTGAGGACCGATAATGAAGCGGCAACATATTTCCCAAGTTGCCCTTCATCCACTGAGACACCGCCAGACTAATGCCCATTTTGTAACCAGACTCACGGTGGGCAAAGGTATGCTGCATTATTGCGGCACTGTTAATTAGCTGGGTTAATCTTCTGCGGCACACAGTTAGTCCACCCATAGACGATGGGGGGGATGGGGGGGACTGATTTCTGCTGGAGCAGGAAGTTGGAACGGTGTCGTGCGCATCTCTTCACAGAGTGGAGCTGGCACAGCGCCCAACCTCCTTGCTCGCCCAGGCCTCTAAAGAGAAGTTGAAGGTTGTGGAGGAAGAGACCATGGTGGAGGAGCTGGTGGTGCTGGAGGAAGAGGAGACTCTGGTAGAGGAGTTGGTGGTACTTGAGACGCTGGTGGAGGAGTTGGTGGTACAGCAGGAGACCCTCGTGGAGGAGTTGGTGGTACTTGAGGAGACCCTGGTGGAGGAGATGGTGGTACAGGAGACCCTGGTGGAGGAGTTGGTGGTACAGGAGGAGACCCTGGTGGAGGAGTTGGTGGTACAGCAGGAGACCTTGGTGGAGGAGTTGGTGGTACAGGAGGAGACCCTGGTGGAGGAGTTGGTGGTACAGGAGACCCTGGTGGAGGAGTTGGTGGTACAGGAGGAGACGTTGGTGGAGGAGTTGGTGGTACAGCAGGAGACCCTGGTGGAGGAGTTGGTGGTACAGCAGGAGACCTTGGTGGAGGAGTTGATGGTACAGGAGACCCTGGTGGAGGAGTTGGTGGTACAAGAGGAGACCCTGGTGGAGGAGTTGGTGGTACAGGAGGAGACCCTGGTGGAGGAGTTGGTGGTACAGGAGGAGACCTTGGTGGAGGAGTTGGTGGTACAGGAGGAGACCCTGGTGGAGGAGTTGGTTGTACAGAAGGAGACGCTGGTGGAGGAGTTGGTGGTACAGGAGACCCTGGTGGAGGAGTTGGTGGTACAGCAGGAAAAGAGGAAGCAAGGGAGCCTGGCCCGCATAGGGAGAGCCATCCGCTCACTCCTCCGACGTGTGCTGCTTTGTGGTGGCCGGTCCACTGCACAGTAGGGGTGGTGGAGGTGGTGGATCAGTGTGAACCCTGATCACTTTTACCACACTCACCACACTCACAACACTCACCCTGCACCCACCCACCCTGTAATACCCTGCACCCACCACACTCACCCTGCACCCACCACACTCACCCTGCACCCACCACACTCACCCCGCACCCACCACACTCACCCTGCACCCACCACACTCACCCTGCACCCACCACACTCACCCTGTACCCACCACACTCACCCTGCACCCACCACACTCACCTTGCACCCACCACACTCACCCTGCACCCACCACACTCACCCTGCACCCACCACACTCACCCTGCACCCACCAGGTGGAGGTGGTGGATCGGTGTGAACCATGATCACTTTTACCACACTCACCACACTCACAACACTCACCCTGCACCCACCCACCCTGGAATACCCTCCACCCACCACCCACACCCTGCACCCACCACCCACACCCTGCACCCACCATACACACCCTGCACCCACCCAGTCCGTGATACCCCCACCCACCACTCACACCCTGCACCAACCACACACACCCTGCACCCACCCAACCTGTGATACCCTCCACCCACCACCCACACCCTGCACCCACCCACCCTGTGATACCCTCCACCCACCACCCACACCCTGCACCCACCCAGTCCGTGATACCCCGCACCCACCACACTCACCCTGCACCCACCACACTCACCCTGCACCCACCACACTCACCCTGCACCCACCACACTCACCCTGCACCCACCACACTCACCCTGCACCCACCACACTCACCCTGCACCCACCACACTCACCCTGCACCCACCACACTCACCCTGCACCCACCACACTCACCCTGCACCCACCACACTCACCCTGCACCCACCACACTCACCCTGCACCCACCACACTCACCCTGCACCCACCACACTCACCCTGCACCCACCACACTCACCCTGTACCCACCACACTCACCCTGCACCCACCACACTCACCCTGCACCCACCACACTCACCCTGCACCCACCACACTCACCCTGCACCCACCAGGTGGAGGTGGTGGATCGGTGTGAACCATGATCACTTTTACCACACTCACAACACTCACCCTGCACCCACCCACCCTGTAATACCCTCCACCCACCACCCACACCCTGCACCCACCACACACACCCTGCATCCACGACCCACACCCTGCACCCACCATACACACCCTGCACCCACCACACACACCCTGCACCCACCACACTCACCCTGCACCCACCACACTCACCCTGCACCCACCACACTCACCCTGCACCCACCACACTCACCCTGCACCCACCACACTCACCCTGCACCCACCACACTCACCCTGCACCCACCAGGTGGAGGTGGTGGATCGGTGTGAACCATGATCACTTTTACCACACTCACAACACTCACCCTGCACCCACCCACCCTGTAATACCCTCCACCCACCACCCACACCCTGCACCCACCACACACACCCTGCATCCACGACCCACACCCTGCACCCACCATACACACCCTGCACCCACCCAGTCCGTGATACCCCCACCCACCACCCACACCCTGCACCCATCCAGTCCGTGATACCCCGCATCCACCACTCACACCCTGCACCCACCACACTCACCCTGCACCCACCACACACACCCTGCACGCACCACACACCTGCACCCACCCAGTCCGTGATACCCTCCACCCACCACCCACACCCTGCACCCACCACACACACCTTGCACCCACCCAACCTGTGATACCCTCCACCCACCACACACACCCTCACCCACCACACACACCCTGCACCCACCCACAGCGTGATACCCACTACCCAACATACTCCACACAGAGGGTTAGTGGTTTAAGAGGGTTAGGGGTTTAGGGGTATAGGGATTTAGGGGTTTAAAGGGTGATGGGTTTAGAGGGTTGGAAGTTTAGAGGGTTCGATATTTATTGGACTAAGAGTTTATGGGTTGACAGGTTTAGAGGATGATGGGTTTAAGGGTTTAGAGGGAGGGTTTTAAAGGGTAAGGGGTTTAGAGGGTTAGGTGTTTAGATGGCTATTGTTTTAGGGGTTTAGGGACTTCAAGGGTTAGGGGTTCAGAGGGTTAGGGTTTTAGAAGGTTAGGGTTTAGAATATTATGGGTTAAGAGATTTAGATAGTTAGGTGTTTAAAGGTTTAGAGGCTTTATGGGTTTCGATATGTAGAAGTTTAGTGGTTTAGAGGGTTAGAAGTTTAGAAGGTTATAGGTTTTAGAGTTTAGGGGGTTTTAGGGGTTTAGTTTAGGGGTTCAGAGGTTTAGGGTTTTATGGTATAGGTGCTTAGAGGGTGAGGGGTTTAGAGGGTTAGGAGTTCATTGGGTTAGGGTTTAGAAGATTATGAGTTTAGAGAGTTAGGTGTTTAAGAAGTTTAGAGAGCTTAGGAGGTTTAGGAGATTTGGGTTTTCGAAGTTTAGGGGTTTTGAGGGTTAGAGATTTATAGGGTCATGAGGTTTAGGGGTTAGGAGTGTAGAGGATTTAACACCCAGACTTTCACAACTAATATTATCCATAATAAAGGTTTTTTTGGGTTTGTCTCCAACACACCGGTGTGCAAAAGGAGAAACGAATTGGCACTTTTTGTTCACGTGACAAACTTTACTAATTGGTCTTTGGTTCGTTCGGTAAAGTCACGTAATTAGAAATAAAATAAAACAAATCACGACGTTTCGATCGCAACACAAGCAGTCGTCATCAGGCAAAGGAGTCAGCCTCTAAACACAGACAGTTTATAAGGGTTTGGGGATGGGCGTAGCCCAAGTGTATCAACAGCACCAGGAGCATGGGCGGTGCACGAGTGCCAATGCAGCAACAATGCCCATGCAGCAATAATGCTCATGCAGCAACAATATCCATGCAGTAACAATGCCAATGTAGCAACAATGCCAATGCAGCAACAATGCCAATGCAGTGGGTGAGAGAGCTGCTGTGGCAATATGTTATGTAGGTAAGAAAGAGGAGAGGAGCAAGGGGAGAGAGAGAGAGGGGGGGGGGGTACGGGGATGAGGGGGTGCTGCATGAGCGCTAAGGGGAGAGAGGACGTGACGCTGGGTGGGAAGTGGGTGGGGCTGCAAGTGGGAGGCTGGGAATGCTGGGGATGCGGGGGGAAAATAACACGGAAAAATAGACGAGTACCCGGCAGATATGATGGAACAACCATGAACAATTAAGGTTTTACCTGGTTAATAACATCCTTCCAATGATTGCTCAATTTGTATCCATCTTCTCGGTTAAAGTTATGTCTATGTTTATATATCTGGATGGCTTCATGACCAAACCTTTGATAGTAGCCCGAAGGTTTGCAGAGTACCTTGGTCTCGGAAGAAACAATATCATGCGAGCCCACAGCATTATAACAATGTTCAGCCACGGCAGAGGTATTGGTTCTGCCGTGTTTCAGATCGGCCTTGTGTTCGCGAACACGGTCCGAGACATGTTTCATTTCCCCAATGTAACTGCTACTGCATGTACAGCTCAGTTTGTAGACTCCAGATGGGATTAGATCACGGATTTTGTGTACTATATTGAATCGGACCTAGATCTTGTGTTTGTTTAAAATTTTGGAAATCTTTTCGGTAACACCTGCTATGTATGGTAACGTGATGGTTTTGATTAGCTTCTCAGGGGGTTGTTTGTTCATGGTTGGAGAAACAGCTATGCGAATAATGCGGTCCGAGTACCCATTCATCTTGAGGGCCTGGTGTACGTGTTCCAGTTCACTGGCTAGGTGGTGTTGGTCGGAAATGCAGTGGGCCCTATGGTGTAGTGTTTTGATGAAGGAATTATTCTGTGCCAGATGGTGGTGGGAATCAGGTTTCAGATAGGAATATGTGTGGGTGGCTTTCCTGTAGACAGTGTCCCAACAAGCCGTCAGGTCTCTTCTCAAACAAAACATCCAGGAATGGTAGCTTACCATCCTTCTCCACTACCATGGTGAATTTGATGGATGGGTGTATAGAATTGATGTGGCCAAATGACGAAAGTGTCATCTACATATCTCTTCCACAAGGAAGGACGTAGGGTGGATGTCTGGATGGCATCTGTTTCAAATTTCTCCATGAAAACATTTGCTATCACTGGTGATAAGGGGGAACCCATGGGGGTACCTTCATTTTGTTTGTAGAAAGTACCATTCCAGGTGAAGTAAGTGTTGGTAAGGCAGTGCCTAACCAGAGTAGGTATATCAAGATTCAGTCCATGTTGGACTAAATCTTCAATTATTTCTAAAGTGTCAGGTACAGGAACCTTGAACAACAGAGAAACTACATCAAAGCTGACGAGCAAATCATCTGGGGACTGAAATGCCCTTGATTAGGGAGACCAAGTGAGCTGTTACGTACTGTTGAAGTAGTCTTTCCCATGAATGGAAGCAAGTTATCAGACAGAAAACGGGCCAGTTTATAGGTAGGTGAGTTGATAGTGAAAACGATTGGCCGAAGTGGAGTACCTTCTTAATACGTGATTTAATCCCATCTGAAATCTACAAACTGATTTGTACCTGCGGTAGCAGCTACAGTGAGGAAACGTAACGACATGTCTCGGACCGTGTTCGCGAACACAAGGGAGATCTGAAACACGGCAGAACCAATACCTCTGCCGTGGCTGACCATTGTTATAACGCTGTGGGTTCGCATGATATTGTTTTTTCAGAGACCAAGGTTCTCTGCAAACCTTCGGGCTACTATCAAAGGTTTGTTCATGAAGCCATCCAGATTTATAAACGTAGACATAACTTCAACCGAGAAGATGGATACAAATTGAGCAATCATTGGAAGGATGTTATTAACCAGGTAAAACCTTTACTGTTTATGGTTCCATCATATCTGCCGGGTACTCGTCTATTTTTTCGAGTTAATTTCCCCCTGCATCCCCAGTGTTCCCAGCCTCCCACTTGCAGCCCCGCCCACTTTCCCCCCCCCCCCCCCGCTTCACGTCCTCTTTCCCCTTAGCACTCACGCAGCGCCCCCCCCCCCTCATCCCCCTACCCCACTCCCCCCCCCCTCTCTCTCCCTCCTTGCTCCTCCCCCCCTTTCTTACCTATATAACCTCTTGCCACGGCAGCTCTCTCACCCACTGCATTGACATTGTTGCTGCATTGGCACTTGTGCACCACCCATGCTCCCGGTGCTGTTGATACACTTGGGCTAGGCCCATTCCAAACCCTTATAAACAGTTTGCCTTTAGAGGCTGACTCCTTTGCCCGATGACGACCGCTTGTGTTGCGATCGAAACGTCGTGATATATTTTATTTCTAACTACGTGACTTTACCGAAAGAACCAAAGAGTATGGATTCCTGCAGTCACGAAAGCTTCAAATAAAGATTCACTAATTGTCGGATGGTGGCGGGTTTAATGACACATTTATATTTACACAATCTAACCCAACAAACCTTTATTATGGTATGAGAGGGTTAGGGTTGTAAAGGGTTATGGTTTTAGTGGTTTTGGGGTTTAGAGGGTGAGTGGTTAAGAGGAGCGGTCCTCAACCTTTTTGGTACCAGGGACTGGTTTCGTGGAAGACAATTTTTTCACGGACTGGAGGGGGGGCGGGGGGTCACCATTGGGTCTTTCTCCCTTTTCAAAGAAGCTCTGCAGCGATGTTTGTTTTTTACTCATTTTGGCTAGGGTTCGCTTGTGAGCTTACCAAAACTGCGCAGTGCGGGAAAGAGGCACAGACGGAAGTGGGCGGGCCATGCGCGGACAAAAACAAGTGTCGGATTCCGACTTCTCATAAGGAGTGTGCAACCTCGATCCCTCGCATGCGCAGTTTACAGTAGGGTTCGCGCTCCTATGATAAGCTAATGCCGCCGCTGATCTGACAGGAGGCGGAGCTCAGACAGTAATGCGAGCGTTGAGCGGCTGTAAATACAGATGAAGCTTCGCTCGCTCGCCCACCGCTCACTTGCTGTGCTGCCCAGTTCCTAACATGCCACAGACTGATACCGGTCCGTGGCCCGGAGGTTGGGGACCTCTGGCTTGGAGGATTGGAGTTTAGATGGGATTTAGAAGGTTGGGGATTTAGCATTTTAGAAGGTTAGAGTTTGAGGTTAGGGGTTTGGATGGTTAGGTGTTTAGAGGGTTGCTTTTTAAAGGTTTAGAAGGTTAGGGGTTGAAATAGTTAGGGGTTTAGAGGGTTCGGGGTTTAGAGGGTTAGGGGTTTAGAGGGTTAGAGTTTTAAGGGTAAAGGGGTTTAGAGGGTTAGAGGGTTAGGTGTTTTGAGGGTTCGTGTTTTAGATGGTGAGGGGTTTAGATGGTTAGGGGGTTTAGAAAGTTAGGTGTTTAGAGGTGTCGAGGGTTTATGGATTTCGATTGTTAGAGGTTTAGGAGTTTAGTCGTTTATAAGGTTATTGGTTTATGAGTTTAGATATTTCGGGGTGTTTAGGGAATTAGGGATTTAGAAGGTTATGGATTTGAGGATTTTCAAGGGTTAAGGGGTTAGAGGGCCAGGGATGAGAGGGTTTAACACCTACACTTAATATTATCTGTAATAAAAGGGTTTTTTTTTGTTAGTCTCCAACACAGCGGTGTTCTAAAGTAGAAACAAATGGTCATTTTTTGGTCACGTGATAAAATGTACTAATTGGCTGTCGGGTGGTGGTGGGTGTAATGACGCATTGACATTTACATGAACTTACCCCCAAAACCCGTTATTAAGGGGATTAGAGAGTTGAGAGTTTAAAGAGTTAGATGTTGAGAGGGTTAGTATTTTAGGGTAATACGGGTTTAGAGAAGGTTAGGTGTTTCAGAGGGTTGGGGTTTTGATGGTTTGGGATTTAGGTTAGGGATTGAGAGTTTTAGAAAGTTACGGTTTTGAGGATGAGAGGGTTAAGGGTAGAGTTTTATGGTTTAGAAGGTTATGGGTTTAGAGGGTAATAGGTTTAGAGGGTTAGGTGTTTCGAGGTTTAGCCGTGGTAAGATAAAAAAATTGTTTAGTTTCATTTGTATATTTGTAAATAATTTGTTTACCTCTCCTGTCGTGTTTTGTATTCTATTTTTGTTGTTACATTTTGACCCGCCTGACTGCTCATCTGTGAAAAAGATCTTTATTGCTCGTTAGATTCCTTCAGTACAAAATAAATACTCTTTTATTTTTATTCTTATTGGCCTCTGTACGAATCTATGGATTTCGGTGTGAGTTTTTGGGTCTCTTTGAATGTATGGATCTCTGTATCTCTGTGTGAGGCTATGGGTCTCTGTATGAGTCTATGTGTGTGTGTGTTGGAGTCTATGGATGTCTGTTGGAATCTATGGGTCTCTGAGTATGGATGTTTGTGTGAGTAATTCTGAAACCTATGGAAGCTCCAGTGAGTCACACTGAACTATATGGGAGCGTCAGTAAGTAACACCGAACCCTATTGGAGTGTCAGTGAGGAACACTGGACTCTACGGGAGCGTCAGTGAGTAACACTGAACCCTAGGTGATTTCTAACAGCACTTACCCACAGTTTCTTCAGGCTATACGGTAAATCCCATACACGGAATGTATGTCTTTGTGCGTGAGTTTGTGAGAGTGAGCTTGTGTAAATTTGAATGAGTCATTGAGTGTGAGAAAGTTTGCGAGAGTTTGTGAGAGTGTGTGTGTGTGAGTTTGTGAGAGTAAGTTTGTGCGAGTGAGTGTGTAGTGTAGTCTCAAATGAGTACCTAGAATGGTGTGAAAACATGGCCACTAGTGAGACCAAGGCGGCCGTGCGTGGTGCTGGCCACCCACCCTCTCGTGTTTTGTGCTGGTATTCATACTGTAGGTGCTCATGAACAGCACTTGCCCCCAACAATCTGTTAAGGCTATACAGGGGGGTCTTTGTTTTTGTATGTGTGTTTACGTGTTCGTGTTGTTGTTTTTTGCGTGCGTTTGGGAGTGAGTCTGTGAGTTAATTATTGAGTAGATAAATGGGTGAATGAGTGATGATGGGTTGATGAGAGAGTGTGAGTGAGTGGTTGAGCGAGTGGCTGCGTGAGTATGAGTAGGTGAGGGAGTGGGTGAGTGGGTACATCTGTGCATGAGTGGGTGAGTAGGTGAGAAATTGAATGAGTGGGTTGGTCAGTGAATTTCTGAGTGAGTCGGTGCGTGAGTGAATAGATCAGTGAGTGGATGACTGAGTTGGTAAGTTAGTTTTTTGTGATTGGGTGGATGAATGCATGTGTAAAGACAGTACAGGGGACTAGCGGTCACAGGGTGTAATGACAGGTTAATGAATAGACAGGGTGAACGATCTGCGGTCTACGAGAAGGATCGAGAATAAGGCTGTGGCCAAGTGACAGAAGGGAGCAGGTGTGGATCAAGGACCAAGAGCCATCGAGAAGGTTCTAGAGAGGGGGCGTGCTCACGGGTTAAGGGATGGCCACGCATAGGATAAAACGTGTCGAAAACGAGAGGCTCGGGGCTGCTGAAGCCGGTGTCTTCGCCTGTCAAGTGTCCGTGCCTTCAATGAAGATCACCGACAAGAAACGTGTCTCCTGGGGTCATTACAACTGGTGTCAGAAGTGGGGTACCATCATGTCACGGTATAACCGAGGGAAGAACCCACCTGAGATGACCTTTGACGAAGGAGAGGACGAGGAGGAGACCCGCCTTCAGTCAGCCCCGGGAGGCGGGGTCCCGGTCAACAACCCCGTAGGTGAAGTGGAAGCTGCGGTGGCAACGAGGGGGGGGGGGGGGGGGCGACCGACAGCAGCTACAAATCATGGAGGGGTGGAGCGAGGTGATGGGATGGCTGACCAACTACTGGCAGCAGTCGCACAGCTCACCTTGCGGTTGGGCAAGGCTGCGGTGAGAGGGGGAGCCACGGACAGCGTGGAGGGGATCGTCGCGGTGGGAGCTGCGCGATCAACAGCCGCAGTCGTTCGCGTGGTGGAAACCAAGCAGGAGAGCTTTACTGAGTCTCAAGACATTATCAGGAGGCTCCTGCTACATTGGAATGTTTGGCCAATTGCATTGAGTGGTGCATGTGGGAGGAAACGGTACCAAGTAGAACGTCACGAATACGAAGAGGATGCACCTCAATGATAAGGATAGATGGAATCAAGAATCCATCCATGTACGCCTTCGACTAGTTACCTTGTGGCCTAAGCCCACAACACCCGGTATTCCCAGGGAGTCTCCCATCTAAGCACTAAACCCAGGTCTGCTTACTCTCTCAAAGCCAATGAGATTGTGTGGTGTATTCAAAGCCATTGGGTTAAAGGCAATCGACAGGCAGGCAGAGCGAGTGGTGGGCGCATGGGTGGCAGTACAAGCGGCCGATGTAGACCACTCTGATAGAGGTGGTCGAGCCAGATGATTGCGTAAGGAGTAGTGGAGTGGTGCATCGTGGCCGTGATCGGACATCAAGTGGTCAAGCAGGTATTGTGTGCAATGCAGTAGAAACCAGTTCTGAACCGTCACACCGGTGGTGAGAGGCTGCTGACTTGGAGACGTTTGCCCCAGCTCCAATTCCGAGTTGGCCAACTGTAATAAGCTCGAGATCCTCCTGCGAGCTCAGGGAGGCCGGCTCGGGGCGCTGGCGCTGCGAGTCGGCCACGGCGAGGGTCTGGAAGGGGACGTCTGCTGTGGGCGGCCGCCAGACGGGATTCCGGGTCTCTGCACGGTAACAACGATGGCGGGGAGGACAATGATGAGGGCGACGGGTACGAGCAGTAGCGGCAACAACTGTGACAACAACTGACGCGGCATCACGTAGCGGATAGCGCACCTCGCTACTGACCCGGCGAGCCAAGTTGGAGTCAAACTCGCGGTTAAGAATGGCGACAGCAAACATCAGAACCGATTACCATCTCCCTGTGCGCTCCTCGTGACCACCTGGCTTATAATAGTTGCGCATTTACAAATTTACCAACTTAGATTCAGATGAATACGAGAACCTGGTGTGGCGTGTAGTGAACGTCAGCACGGGGGAGACGAAGGCGGCCGGCCATGGCGCTGGTCACACCACCTCCCTTGTGTACAGTGCCCTCCTTGATAGGTGCGCACTTGACCTAATATTCTGTGTAGGCTACAAGACCTTTGTCTTTACGTGTGTACATGTGTGCGAGTGTGCACGTGTGTGCAAGTGTGTAAATGTACAAGTGTGCACGTGTGTGTGGCCTCAAGGTGCATATAACCTGGCACAAGCGTCGTGGTGACGTCACCGTCACTTAGTGGCGAATGGCGGTTGTTGTGTTTTATACAATGGAGCATTTGTAGAGTGGAAAGTGGAGAGTTTTTCTATATCTGGGCAGTGTGCTCATGACCAGCTCCGGTTTGACAGCTGAGGCGGCATTATCTATTCATCGGCTGTCTAATGCTGGGTGGAAGCTACTGTCACTCCACACGAAGCTTTGGATCGTCTCAATCAGTCATGCCCTTCCTTATCTATACTTGTGAAATGTTGACCCCTCATGGAACATCTGCGCTGGTGAGATTTAGGCTGGCCTGCTTACGATCCATCCTTGGTTTAAACAGGATGGATTGTGTGAGGAGCTCACAAATCCCTGAAAGACCGCGACAGTCCCATCAATGAGCTCCTCCAGCAGGCAACGCTGCATTCACTAGGTCATGTCGCCCTCATGCCAAACCACCTCATGCCCAAGCTGTTTCTGTTTGTCCAGTTGGAGAGGTTAAAAGGTGCAAGAAGCGGGCTGGAGTAGAGATGGACTGATGCAGTATGGGAGGATGTGGAGCTGAGTGGACTTGCTGAAGATCGGTACCAGCGGTGTCAAGATCGACCTCTATGGAGGAGGCTTGTCAAAGACGCTACTGGGCAGTTGGAGGCAGTCGCACTAAAAAAAACAACTCAGGGCAGAGGAGCGGTGCTCACAACAATGAACGGAGTGCTGGGTGGCTAAAATGCAGCAAGTTGGCGCAGTAAAGGACACAGCTGGTGCATCCACCAGGCATCTCAGTCAACCCATGGCATCTGGGTATGTCCCGTGACCTGGTGTCAGTGAACTTTCGACACTTCACGTGGCCTCAAGTGCACCTAGCCTGGCACCTTGGTGACGTCACCGCCACTTAGTGGGGTATGGCGGCTGTTGTTGTTGAGCGTACACGTGTGTACGAGTATATACGTGAGTGTACACGTGTGATGCGGCTAAGCGGTAGTGCTGTACTAACAGTAGTAATAATAGCACTGCGGTGTTAGTAACAGCAGTAGTTATACTAGTTATAATACTACGGTATGGCAGTAACAGCAGTAGTTATACTAGTTATAATAACACTAGTGTGGTAGTAAAAGTAGTAGTTATACTAGTTATAACACTAGTGTGGTAGTAACAGTAGTAGTTATTCTAGTTATAATACTAGTGTGGTAGTAACAGTAGTAGTTATACTAGTTATAACACTACAGTGTGGTAGTAACAGTAGCTATACTAGTTATAATAACACTACGGTCTGGTAGTAACAGTAGTAGTTATACTAGTTATAACACTACAGTGTGGTAGTACAGTAGCTATACTAGTTATAATAACACTACGGTCTGGTAGTAACAGTAGTAGTTATACTAGTTATAACACTACGATGTGGTAGTAACAGCAGTAGTTATACTAGTTATAATACTACAGTGGTAGGAAACAGTAGCTATACTAGTTATAATAATACTACGGTGTGGTAGTAAAAGTAGTAGTTATACTAGTTATAATACTACAGTGGTAGTAACAGTACTAGTTATACCAGTTATAATAACACTACGATGTGGTAGTAACAGTAGTTATACTAGTTATAATAACACTACGATGGGGTAGTAACAGTAGTAGTTATACTAGTTATAACACTACAATGTGGTAGTAACAGCAGTAGTTAGTACTAGTTGTAAAACACTACGGTGTGGTAGTAAAAGTAGTAGTTATACTAGTTATAATACTACAGTGGTAGTAACAGTACTAGTTATACCAGTTATAATAAACACTACGTGTGGTAGTACAGTAGTTATACTAGTTATAATAACACTACGATGTGTAGTAACAGTAGTAGTTATACTAGTTATAACACTACAATGTGGTAGTAACAGCAGTATTTATACTAGTGTAATAACACTATGGTGTGGTAGTAACAGTAGTTGTACTAGTTATACTATGTGTGGTAGTAACAGTAGTAGTTGTACAAGTTATAACACTACGGTGTGGTAGTAACAGTAGTAGTTATACTAGTTATAATATACTAGTGTGGTAGTAACAGTAGTAGTTATACTAGTTATAATAACTATAGTGTAAAAGTAGTAGTTATACTAGTTATAATAACACTATAGTGTGGTAGTACAGTAGTAGTTATACTAGTTATATAACACTATGCGGTAGTAAGTAGTTATACTAGTAAACACTACGGTGTGGTAGTAATAGTGGTAGTATACTATTATAATAATACTACTCGTGTGGTAGTAACAGTAGTAGTTATACTAGTTATAACACTACAATGTAGTAAACAGTAGTAGTTGCACTAGTTATAATAATACTACGGTGTAGTAGTAACAGTAGTTATACTAGTAATAACACTACGGTGTGGTAGTAACAGTAGTAGTTATACTAGTTATAATACTACGTGTGGTAGTAACAGTAGTAGTTATACTAGTTATAATAACACTAGTGTGGTAGTAAGCAGTAGTAGTTATACTAGTTATAATAACACTATGGTGTGGTAGTAACAGTAGTAGTTATACTAGTTATAATACTACAGTGTGGTAGTAACAGTATAGTTATACTAGTTATAACACTATGGTGTGGTAGTAACAGTAGTAGTTATACCTAGTTATAAATTAACACTAGTTTGGTAGTAACAGTAGTAGTTAGACTAGTTATAATAACACTACGGTGTGGTAGTGACAGTAGTAGTTATACTAGTATAATAATCTACGGTGTGTGTAGTAACAGTAGGTATTTGTACTAGTTATAAACTACAATGTGGTAGTGACAGTAGTAGTTGGTAACTAGTTATAACACTAACGATGTGGGTAGTAACAGTAGTTGTACTAGTTAGACTAGTGTGGTAGTAACAGTAGTAGTATGTACTAAGTTATAACACTACGCGGTGTGGTAGTAACAGTAGTTGTAACTAGTTTACTAGTGTGGTAGTAACAGTAGTAGTTGTACTAGTTATAACACTACGATGTGGTAGTGACAGTAGTAGTTGTACTAGTTATAACACTACAATGTGGTAGTGACAGTAGTAGTTGTACTAGTTAAACTACAATGTGGTAGTGACAGTAGTAGTTGTACTAGTTATAACACTACGATGTGGTAGTAACAGTAGTAGTTGTACTAGTTATACTAGTGTGGTAGTAACAGTAGTAGTTGTACTAGTTATAACACTACGATGTGGTAGTAACAGTAGTTGTACTAGTTATACTAGTTGGTAGTAAACAGTAGTAGTTATACTAGTTATAACACTACGGTGTGGTAGTAACAGTAGTAGTTGTACTAGTTATAACATAACAATGTGGTAGTGACAGTAGTAGTTGTACTAGTTATAACACTACAGTGTGGTAGTAACAGTAGTAGTTGTACTAGTTATACTAGTGGGTAGTAACAGTAGTAGTTGTACTAGTTATAACACTACGGTGTGGTAGTAACAGTAGTAGTTATACTAGTTAAACACTACGGGTGGTAAACAGTAGTGTTGTACTAGTTATACTAGTGTGGTAGTAACAGTAGTAGTTATACTAGTTATAACACTACGATGTGGTAGTAAAAGTAGTAGTTGTACCAGTTATAATGTGTTAGTGTTCTCCCATCTGCTGGGACTGTGTGGGTCCCAACGGGCCCGCGATGAGGTGGGCGCTGATCAGGGGTGACGGCTCTGCCCACACACTCCCACGATTGCGTTCAAGGCGAAAGTTGACTGCGACCGCGGGGCCACGGAGGGCAGAGTTCGTCTCCTGCTCAGCAGCCGTCCGCGTCTCTGGGGAGGAGGTTTGGAGCGCCGCGTTCCCACAGCAGCCATCGCAGCAGCAGCGCGGCAGTCGTAACTTATTTCCCTCAGGAGGAGGACGAAGCCAACCGCAGCTGCTAGCGAAGTTGTCCTGCCTGCGGCGAGCAGAGACTCGGCCACTGGGTGGAGCGGGCTGCTGGGTAGGCGGCCACCACCCGCAGGAAGAAGAACGGGTCACTGGGGTGCGACAAAGAGCTTCACGGCTCATCGGATTCCTCCAGGTGGGATACAGGTCGTGAACCCTTACACAGACTGCACGCAGAGAGAGAGAGAGGCAGACAGAGATGGGGTCGTGAGGCGGTGGGACTGATCGCGCTGACGGAGGCGAGGGAGTCGCTCTCACCGCCGTCTCCTCAGGGCTCCCTCTCCCCTCCGTGCGCCGCCATTGCGGCTGCGAA